GGTCCAAAAGACTCTCTGCTTTCAGAGAGATGCACAACAATGGAAACAGCTCCATCAAAACGTCCACCGCGCGCACGAGATTTCATGCAATAAAAGAGATACAAAGCTGCAGTGGAGCGTTCAAGTGTTGGTTGAAACAGCAAATATTCGCGTGCATTCAGCGCATTTTATTCATATGCATGCTTTTAATGATCAATGACTGAATGAGAAATAATTATTTTCACATTATTGCTTAATAATGGTCTCGAATTTGTAAACTTTTCTTGTTGAAGGACGCAAAGTGACCCTGTGCAAAAAAACAACAACAAACAAACAACTATTTACAGGTTTGCATTAAAATAATAACAAACCACTATTCATTATCATTATTATTATTAATAATAATAATAATAATAATTTTAGGTGAAGCACTTGTTGCACAGAAACTAGTGCATGCAGGCAGCACTGAGATGCGTGCGAGAGCGCGCGGAGAGGACACAACCCACCAGTCCACAATGTCACGCGCGCACACACGCACACGCATGCACACACATGGTCTTACAAGTGCCTTTTTTTATAGGAGCCACAAACTGCTTGTGGTTATGAGATAGCTTTCTAGGAAATTTCAAACTGTTTTTTTTTTTTTTGTATTATCTTGTTTTAAAGATAACAGCAAGACGAGATTCTTTAGTTTTGCTCCAGTTAAATAATATTTATCAGCTACTACGTGCTTTTTAATTCAGTTATTAGTCTAAGGAAAAACAAACAGGTGGAATCGATGCTGAGAGTAGATAATTAAAAAAAAAAAACAAAAAAAAAAAACCGACTTGCCAAATGGTTTAGCTTCACATACAGTCACAGGGTAAATATGTTAATCCGTGCCATTCTTTAACTTCAAAGCTTGAACCTTGAATGAAACGAGACATCAGCGCGTGAGGGGAAGACTTGGGACTGCTGTTAATTTCCAGCCCGGCTGAAAACAAGGATGCAATGTGAGCAAAGTGGGGGAAATGTCTCTTTAAAGTTTTTTTTCCTCTATCAGTCTTAGTTATTTCTCCTCCCTGCGAGGTGATTTGCATAGCCAATAGCTCCGCAGCTCTGCACCGACGCTGCGTGATTGTTACTGGGCAGACTTCATCTTTACCTTCCTCTCTGCTTCTCCTCCCTCAGCTGTGGCCGGAGTCCTGCAGGGATGCTGCAACCTGGAGTCCACCTGACATCGCACAGCCTCCCCACCCACCCCGACCCCTAAAGGTGCGGGAGGTGGGAGGAACCTTTGGATCAAACTTTGCGCCTCAATAAAAAAGCCATTTATTGAGTTTAATAAATAGATTAAAAATCTTTTATGACACATTCTCACAAACTACAACAAAAAGACAAGTTTATGCACCTAAACTTTAATTTATTACACATTAAAGGGCTGGAAAACGTCACTAACCGCGACTCCATCTTGGCACGGAGCAGAAATGTGTTTAAAGGGGTTAGAAAGATGCATTATCCCTGCTTCAAAAGTTAACTTTACGCAGCCCCGAAGAAGATAAATCATCTGAAATGAGGAATAACAGTGCGAACAGCTGGAAAGGCACGTGCCTCAGCTCCTCTGAACATCCGGCAGCATCAGCTGCTCCAAACCCTCCAGGATGCGCAATTACGCACCGCCTCGGCGCTGCAGCCCACCCTGCTGCAGGACAGAAGTCCTTTTTATAATCTTACAGGTAGAAAAATCTCAACAATACGTTTCACTAGATCTCCACTCATTATAGAACTTTAAATTCCCCGAATCTGGTTTCCTTTGAGATGGAAAAAGAAAAGAACGTGGCAAAATAAGAAATTATTTTTAAACTTTTTGGACAATAAAGCAATAAATGGCTGAAGCTTTGCGCGCGCGCGTGTGTGTGTGTGTGTGTGTGTGGGGGGGGGGGGGGTGTGCGTGCCAGTGAAGACAGCCGCTCCTCTGAGATCTGAAGCAACTGCAGCACATTCTTGTCCCCGGAAGCATTCACTTATCACATCCGAAAAAAAGACCAAACACACCCTTTCTTTGAAAAAAAAAATAAATAAATAAATAAATTACCAAAAAATAAATAAATAAAAACACGAGGATACATGACTACCCGAGACGGGGGTGGGGTGGGGGTGGGGTGGTGTTAATTTGAAGTTATTAAAAGGAGGTTCATTCAAATTCACGCTGAAAGAAATATCTGTCGGGTCGTTTTATTAAACAAATAAAACAAAGTGTTTATTTCTCTGAATATAAAGTGGATCAAATATGAACAAAACCCGATGGTTTAAGTCG